CCGGCACTCCCAGGGCCACGCACGGAAAGCCTGGGCTGTCCTGCATCCAGGGTGCTGCACTGCTGGGCCTGGGGGTGGAGGCAGCTCTGGGGTGCAGAGGTGCTCAGCACAGTGCTTCCTGAGAGTCAGTGTCGTGGGTCAGCCATACATCAGGAAGTGAGAACATCCATCTGTACCTGGAATTACTGTTTTTTCGGCAGAAGGACAAACTTTGTTGGGCCCATCAGCCCCAATTCTGAACCAAGTCCAGCGGGCAGCGGAGAGACCCACTTTGCTACCAGTAGAGGCATCTTTGCAGCAGCAGGTTTGCCAGTGTGCCAGTGGTTGCCACCTCTGAAAGGATGGTCCCTGGGGGTTGTGGCCATGCGCTGCACCACGGCCGGCAGCTCCTCATTGCCTCCTGTGTAGCGGGCATAGCCTGCCGTCAGGATGGCTGGTCGGTTCGGCCGTCTCTGGCGCCCACACCGACCACAGCTCTGTTGGCTGAGATGATCCTTCTGGGGGGGGGGGCAGCTTCACGTGAGTCTTTCTGGTCTCTGGGCTAGAGGAGGTGACTGTGGCTTAGTTCTCCAAGGCTCAGGCCAACTAGTTCAGTCCCAGCGTGTCCTCCAGGCAGTGCCTGATGGTACAGGTGTGGTGTCTGCAGGGAGGATGCTGCTGACGTCCAGCTGGGCCCTCTTGCTGCCATACACAAACCCAGACTGGCCCATGTGGAGGCCCTTGGTGGTGATGGACAGCGTTGTCTGCTGCTTAAACCTGTGTGGGTCCCGGAGACCATCTCAGCAGGGGGATGTCCTTCAAGGTGCCCTTGATGTATCTGTGCTGCCCAGCCAAGTCCACAGCATGCAGGCGCAGGAGCCCTCATGCTTCACACGCACACGGAGCACAGAGCGGGCGCCCTTCCTCTGTCCACGCATCCTGCGGCCCACGACTGCTCATGAGTGCAGCCTGAAGAGCTGTACCTGGAATTTTAATGCCCTTGCTGTTTGCAGAAAATATGCCAGTGTCATGTATCCATTATGTAATAAGCTGTTTCAAAGCAGGAGTGTGATGAAGATGCCTGTGAATGCACAAGAAAAGGCAGGGACTGGCAATTTACGAAAGAGGAAATACGGTTCATAAACACTTGGTCAAAAATTACTTCATCTTACTAATCATCAAAGAAGAGAAAATTAAAGCAGCATGACGGAGAGCGCTGTGCACCGCCTCCCCCGGGAAGGAACGGAGTCTAGGGAGTGCCCTGCGCTGGGAAGCCCCCACTCAGCTGGCTGCCCTTCCTCTGAGGATCTGCCCCAGCAACTCAGCTGACACATGGCAAGCCGGTGCCCCAAGTCTCTGTCCTGGTAGTGTCTAGGAGGCAGAGACTCGAGGGCCACCAGATGTCCCACCCCAGGAGGGGCCATTCAGCAGCACTTGGCAAACACTGCACGGGGCAGTCGAGAGCAGAGGCGCGAGGACAGAGCCCAGGGACACAGAGCCCCACGAGGAGGCCCGCAGTGGGCGGCAGCACAGCTGGGAAAGCTCTGAGCACAGCACACAGGGCGACAGGCAGCAGTGCAGGCAGCCCTCTTTCCCCAAATTGCCCGAGAGGTGCGCCTTTATCCTGGCGTAGGAGGGAATTGGTTGGGAGCTGACTGGGCACAGCTGCCAGCATCCTGCTGCTCACACCATTCGGACCCCTCTGGGTTCCCACCTCAGCATAAGTCGTCCACCCTCCTGCAGGGCTCCAGACCTGAGCCACTTCGGCCAAGGCCACCCGACTGGCTGCCCAGCACAGCAGGGAGACCTGGCCCTGCTCCAAGTATAAAGGAACAGCATTCCAGGGTCGACCCTAGCCACTGCCCAGTCCTTTGCTCAGCAAGGCCCATGGTGGGGCTCAGGGCCTGCTGTCCTGCCATCAAGGCTGGCCACAGCTGGGGATGTGGCCCCACCCAAATGAAGCCGGCCTCTTCCCTGTACCCACTCCCCAGCCAGGTCCCACGGGCCCAGCTTCTAAGCCCACTGTGTCCTTGGCTGCCCTCCTCAGGGCCAAGTCTGACGCCTGCCACAGGTCACTCTCTTTGTTGTTCGTTCCCGAAGGGGCGTGTCTATGCCGCGCAGCCCACTCCCTGCTGGCCGTCCAGCCTGTCCAGCTGTCACTTGCTTTTCACATTAGTGGCTCCCTCACATTTCCCACCAACTTCCCAGAGGCATCCACTCAGCATGTGCAGAAAAGTTCTGGCTTTGGATGGGCCACCTAGCTCCATACCTCTGTTTTCTCTTGTGACTACTTTTAAGTTTATCTTTATTTCCTTTGGGGCCTGGGGACAGGGCGTGGTCAGGACCTGCCTGGTCTGTAGTTGCCATAGTTACCATGAGGAACATGATGAGTGCTCTTGGCTTCCCAGGGCCAGCCAGGCAAGCGTGCACAGGGGAGTGTGGGTCCAGCGTCGGATGTTTTGTTCCCGCACGGAACTGCACCAGGAAGTGCTGGGCCTGGTGGACTGGACACCAGGCTGGGGAGGGGCCAGAGAGCTGAGCGTGAGCCCCCTGCCTGCAGGGACTTCAGCCCCCCTCGTACTCCAGCCCTGCCCATGGGCCCCAGCTCCTTCTTCTGATGTGGGCTGGCATCCCCTGTGTCTAGGCCGATCCCCAACTGGTGCCAGCCCGCCTGGCACCCAATTCCTGCGACTGAGCAGAGCATGGAGGCTGGAGCCGGCCTCCCGCAAGCTGGCTTAGCCAAGTTTGTATGTTTTGACTCCCGCCCCGGGACGGCAGCTGGAGACTTAAGGGTTCCCTTTCACGGGGCCTTCAGCTTCCAGATGCTTAGGTGGGCGCCACCCGCATACCGGCCAGCAGCTGGTTTGTCCCAGCCACAATGAGCAGGGGAGCTATGCCTTTGACGCCAAATCGCCGTTGCCATCGAGGGATCATCCTGAGCCTCTGGGAGCTGAGAGCAGCCGGGTTGGGAGGGCAAAGCTGCAGTGGCTGCCCGCCGGCCGGGCAAAACCACACCTGTCTGAGTTAGGGGAGAAAGGGACCTCTGCTGGCCACTCGGCTGTGACGAGGCCCACGTGCTGCCCTTCCTCCTGGCCCCAGGCTGTGTGGAGACTGGCAGGGGGCAGCTGTGCTACCCTGGACTGGCCATGCCCTGCCCCTGTTGGCCTTTGCACCCAAGAGCAGGATCAGCTGAGCCAGCTGCCCCCCAGAATAGGCATGGTGTAGTTTGGATGTTGCCCCTTAGCCCAGCTCCCCTTGCCCTGAGGTCTCTAGGCTGGGGCTGTGTGCCAGGCACCGGGGGCTGCAGCACGGAGTGGGGGGGAGACCTGGCTGCTACTGCTGCTCATTCGGCCCTCTACTAGCGGGTTGGGGGACTTGCTTTCCCTTAATGCGGAGAGACCTTCAGGCCCTGCCTGGGTGGAGGACCAGACCCCAGGACCTGAGCATTGACTGGGGTATAGTCCAGGGTATGGCCGGCTCCTCTTCAGCCTGTCCAGACAGGGAGGAGGCCACCGGGAGCCAGCAGGTGTCCCTTGGAGGAGGCCCTGCTGGACTCTGGAGGCCTGAGAGCTGGTGGGTCTCACTGCCTGATGGTGTCAGGCTGCCGTGCTGCGGACAGATGCAGGGACGCCAGGCAGGCCAGGTGCCAAGAGCTCCCCACGAGGGGCTGGTTTCTCCAGATGATGTCAGCACCAGGGCCTTTGGCACTATGCTGGTGGCCCTGCAGCAGGGCCTGAGGCCTGAGCATGTGGAAAGTTCTGGGGTCCCGTGCTCAGTGCTCTGAGGTCAGGGAGCCCCAGCATCGGCAAGTGCCTCTTCCTTTCCCATGTGCCAGGATCCAGTCTGAGGTTCCCACGTGCCAGCATCCAGTCTGAGGCCGACTCCAGCTTCCTCAGGTGGCATTCCCTCTGTCCCTCCTGGGCTGGCTGGCATGTGACCAGTGTCCGTCTCAGACCTGCCTGCCATCTCCTGCAGAGGCTAGGAGCCTCTCTGCGCCACTGGTGCTTCATATTTGACCAGTTCTAAATGGGCATTCTTTTCACTCTGTTGCCCAGGCTGGACTGCAGTGGTGCGATCTCAGCTCACTGCAACGTCCGCCTCCTGGGTTCAAGTGATTCTCATGCCTCAGGCTCCCAAGTAGCTGGGACTACAGGTAACCACCACCACTCCCAGCTAATTTTTGTATTTTTAGTAGAGATGGGGGGATTTCTTTCTTTCTTTCTTTCTTTTTGAGACAGATGAGTCTTTGTCTCCTAGGCTGAAGTGCAATGGCACAATCTCAGCTCACTGCAACCTCCACCATCTGGGTTCAAGCAGTTCTCCTGCCTCAGCCTCCTTAGTAGCTGGGACTACAGGTGTGTGCCACCACGCCTGGCTAATTTTTGTATTTTTAGTAGAGACAGGGTTTCACCATGTTGGCCAGGAAGGTTTCGATCTCTTGACCTCATGATCCACTTTCCTCGGCCTCCCAAAGTGCTGTGATTACAAATGTGAGCCACTCTGCCCCGCCAGAAATACATTTTACTTTATTTTGTTTTTTTTTTTTTTTTGAGACAGTTTTGTTCTTGTCACCCAGGCTGGAGCGCAGTGGCACAATCTTGGCTCACTGCAACCTCCGCCTCCTGGATTCAAGCAATTCAGCCTACTGAGTAGCTGGGACTAATAGGCATGCATCACTATACCCGTATTTTTAGTAGAGATGGAGTTTCAGCATGTTGGCCAGGCTGGTCTCAAACTCTAGACCTCAGGTGATCCACTGGTGTCGGCCACCCAAAGTGCTGGGATTACAGGAGTGAGCCATTGCCCCCAGCGGAGACAGGGTTTCATCATGTTGGCCAGGCTGGTCTCAAACTCCTGACCTCAGGTGATCTGCTCGCCTTGTCCTCCCACAGTGCTGGGATTACAGGTGTGAGCCACCGCTCCAGGTCTCTAAGCAGACACTCTGAGAAATAGTTTAAATAAAGGGCTTTAGGTCAAAGCCACTGTAGATGACCTTTCAGCCCCCTCCCTGTTTTCTTCAGGTCGAGTTCCAGACACCAGAAGTCTGAATTTGGAGAAGGCTGGGGTAGACACTAGTCCCAGCACTCAGAAGATCCTGGTGGACTCCCGGGAAGCCACTTCTGTGCCCCACATCTATGCCATTGGCGACGTAGTGGAGGTATGGACTGGGACCAGGGCCCCTGCCCCCTGCCCACCCACCACCCCTGCTTGCTGGGCTCCGGCTGCTCCTGTCCCTTGGGAGAGGAACAACGATTTCTCTGATCACAGAGGCTCTGGGCCAAACCTCAGGCCAGCCTCTATGGAGTTCTGGGACGACCTGGATGTGGGCCTCGGCTCTCTGCCTTGCCTTTCCTCTCTGCGGTGGGGTGTGGGTGGCCTAAAGACAGCTGCAGGCACCAACAGCAGATGCCTGCTGGGAACGGGTGTGGGTCAGCTCTGCACACCGGCCCCCAGGTAGGCTGGAGGCATAGACTTAGAGATGCCACCGCTGGACGTGGCCTTGGGGCTGTCCTGTCCCCACAGGGTTGAGCAACAGCTCGAGTTCAAGTCCACCCAGCCCCGCCCTGTCCACCTCAGTACCCTCTGGCCTATCTCTCTGGGTGTCACGTGCGGGCAGGTCCTCTGCTCTCAGCCACTGCTGTGGAGTGGAGACCAGCACCAGCCTTTCCTGGGTGGGGACTCTGGAGCTCGCCCTCCCCACAGCCCCAGTAAGGGACCTGAGCGGTCAGCCTCAGGAGGCTGCACCCTGGCAGCCTCAGGAGTGCTCAGCATGTCCAGTGCCTGCTGCTGAGGGTGGCTCTGGAGGGGCTCTGAGAGCTTCTCTGTGGTAAGAACTTTGGTGTTAGTGTCGTCGTCGGGCTGCAGTACCAACTCACTACACACGGGTGGCCCAGAACAGCAGACATGGATTCTCTCATGTTTGGGGGCAGTAGTCTGAAATCGAAGTGTCAGCGGGGGCTGGGGTGGTGGCTCATGCCTGTAATCCCAGCACTTTGGGAGGCTGAGGCAGGCAGATTACTTGAGGTCAGGAGTTCAAGACCAGCCTAGCCAACATGGTGAAACTCTGTCTCTACTAAAAAAAATACAAAAGGTAGCCAGGCGTGGTGGCCCATGCCTGTAATCCTAGCTACCTGGGAGGCTGAGGCAGGAGAATTGTTTGAACCCGAGAGGAGGGAGGAGGAAGGTGGAGGTTACTGTGAGCCAGGACTGTGCCACTGCACTCCAGCCTGGGCAGCAAAGTGAGGCTCCATCTCAAAAAAAAAAAAAAGAAAAGCTGTCATCCGGGCCAGGCTCCCTCAGATGCCTCTGGGGTAGGATGTGCCAGGCATCTCTGGGTTGTGGCTGTGTCACTGCGATCTCTGCCTTATCATCATGTGAGTCTCCCGAGTGTGCTTCTGGGCCCTAATTTGTCTCACAGTTTCTCTGTCATTGGCTTTAGGGTCCACCTGACCCAGGATGACTTCCTCTCCATCCTTACCTTAATTATATCTGCAAAGATCTTATTTCCAAATAAGATCACACTCTGAGGCTCCAGGCAGACCCTGCAGGGTCCTGTAGGGCCCATCTAGCCAGCCCGATTGCGTGCACAGAGCACGCGGCTCTGTGTGCCTCCACCACCCCTTAGCCCCAGCTGATCAGCCGAGCGGTTCAGCTCGGTGTGATTTCTGCAAGCTCAACTTCCCCGTGGACCATGCAGGTGCAGTGGTCTCTGATCGCAGGGTCTGTTGCATCCTGTGGGCACTGCACCCTGAGACAGCACCGTGTGCATCTCTGTGCACAGCAGGAAGCCTCCCTTCTGTCTGGGAATCGAGTTTTCCCTGTGCAAGTATGTAGCTCCCAGGCTGGGGGTGGGGGGGCGGGGCGTGTCGGAAACTGTAACATTTCAAACCGTTTTGCTAGAAATGCATGGCACACACAAAGGCATTCTTTATTTAAAAATTAAATCTACTCTGTCAGAAAGGTCATTGTGAGCAGTCCAAAGAGTTAACACCCAACCAGTGGTCCCTTGAGTGGCTGGGAAGAGCCTGTGGGCGGGGCGCGGGCTATTGTTTAATGAGATGTTGTGTGCTGCGCGCCGAGGGATGTTTCCGCAGTTAGTCAGGCCTGCTGGAATGTGGAGGCTGCACTCTGAGTTTATCTCCACGGATCGCTGTGCATTTCTGGAATGCCAAACAGCATCTACATTTCCTGCTGCCAAGGTGATTGGCAGCCTATCCCGGAGCATGGTGCTGGAACCCCCAAGGCCGGGCGCACCCTGGGACGAGGGATCTCCAGAACAGCAGCGTTCTGATTTGGGATTTGTTATGGGCTGTGAAGCACAAGTCGAGCTTCATGTCAGGAGCACGTGGAATGCTTCGGGGTCCTGTTTTTGCCGGGATTCCAGTGAATGCAAACGGTAGCAGGGGCTCTTTTGAGCCTGGTGATGGGGCAGCCCTCCGAAGTCAACAACGTGTAGAAGGGGTTTGAAGAGAAGGCTTGAGCGTGTGGGGTCGGCACGGCCAGCCTCAGCAGCAGCAGCCTCCTCTCCCAGGTGGGGTCGGCACGGCCAGCCTCA